TTCCTGATCCAGAACATTTAGCACAGTCTCCGCACACTTTAAGCACTCAAATGTCAGCCACAGTATATTTCCTACAAAAGTCTAACAAATGGTCAGCTGGTGAAGGGACACTTAGTACACATCTCACTGCTTTTAAGTTCACATGGCCTTCTCTAAAGACTTTTATGAAACAAAGACACATGCTAACTTACCCATGCCTAGTTCTAAAATACCCAGCAGTTATCACAGTTTACTGTAAATTTTGTTGGCTCCCACACTGGATTGTGAGCTACAGGTAAGAACCTAGACTTTTATCTGTGGGTGCCCAGTACATAGCACAATGCCTGTCATGCTGAGTATGAAACTTTTATCAATTGAAGCATTTTTTTAAGGACATTAACAGGATGCTATTTCCTACGTGGACAGAGGCAGGCATACCTCACCTCACCTATAAAATATAGACTATATTTCTATATACTCTGTCTTGGACTACTGCTATTCTTTTTTAAAAAAATGACATCGGGTAACCTTAGCTACTAACATATATAAGTTTCGTGTACAATACCACGACACATCACTTGTTCGCTGCGTTTTTGCCACCACCTGCAATCCAGTCTCCTTCAGCCACCACATACCTAGGTCCGCCTGCCCCTTTTCAGCAGCCCCTGCCCCTCTCGTAACCACCATTCTGCTGCCTGAGTCTATGAGTTTGTTGTTGCTTTTTATTTTTTAACAGAGCCACTTTAGCTCCAATCAGGAGGTAACATCACACTTTTGGACTGATGTTTCTTAGCTACCAACTGTTATATTTACAGAAAGAAACTGAGCTTCAACAAGCCCTTGGAATTTCTTCTGTCCATCTCCTCTATTCAAAAGTCCAATCAGCTATACCAAAAGCCATACCAGCTAAATGGTTTAGTAAAAACAAGCAAGCAAAAAGTCTGCCTAAATGTGCAGAGCACTAAGGGTTTGTATCAACTCATTTAATCCTAAGAATCCTACGAGGTAGGGGTCATCGTCCCATTCGTCGATGCCAAGAGTTACCCGTCCAGGGTCACACAGGCAAATCCAGTACCTGCTCTTTCCTCTATGCAGCATTATTCCTAAAAATGAATTATGACCATCATTGCGTAAGGAAAAGATAGAATGGACAATTCTTCAAAAATTCTTAAAAAATTATCACAGTGAGGTTTGAAAACTGGCCTTAATGTATCTAGCTTTAAAAGCCAAAAATCGAATCAAGCAGTTAAAACCAGTGCATGCCAGAAACTCCCCAGACTGTCAACCAAGCTTTAAGGTAAGCTTTGCACACCAACGACAACGGCCAGGGTTCACATCGACTTCACTGCCGCCTCCAATCTCTGTCCTGGTCAAGGCCATTCAAAAATAACTTTTATTGCTGGGTCTCTTAGGGAAAACAATGATATAAACTTACATAATAGAGGAATGGCCAGATTTTTTAAAAAGTCACCTCACTCAAAGTCTGCTGGGAATGACTTGTTTTCTTGAGGCCATCGATCAATTTCATCTTATTAATAACGATGCCTATATTAAGATGTTCTAGCAGAGAAAGCAGCAAGATGATTGGATTTGAGCGTACACATTACAAAACAGAAAGTACATTAGTCTATATATCCTTCCAAAGATTCCCTCAGAATCCAACTCTATTAGTTTCTCCATCATGACGACTACTCAGATCATATTTACATTGAGACCAAGATTGTTCCAAATCTTAAAAGATGCTATTATCCAACTAATGCCTTGACCCCAGTTAATGAACTGTCACCTCTCCCCAGAAAAATGTAGGAACGCAGAAACTTAAAATTCCTTTACAAGTAAATTTTAGTTCATTCTCTAAGGCACCCACCCTCACTGAAAGGAAAACTGCTTAGTCTGATGCCACTGAAAGAGCAGGCAGCAGAACAGACGTTATAATTTAGATCAGAATTTTCTCTCTACTTACGCTATATGTTCCTCATTGCCTCCTCCCTAACAAAATATGGAAAACCTGAAACCCTACAAAAGAGGTAGAATGATGAAGAAAAATTAATAAAGGTGGTTTTGATTAGGTTCAATTAGAGGAAGAGCCTAGGCCTGGATAAATCAGTGTGCCAAAAAGTAACTGATGAACATTCTCTCTAGTAAGAAGCAAATACTAGGGGGGGAAATTCTTTTCACAAGCACTACCAACCCCACCCATTAAATTACATTGTACCTATTCTCAAAAATAGCTAAAAGTCCTGTTTAAACACAATTACTTTAATAAGACATGTGTGCCCCCCCCAAAAAAAAAATTAAGGAGAAACAGTATTCACAGGTAAGATATACATGTGTTGTTCTACTACAAGTAGAAACCTATCATTACAGCCAGACTGCCTGGGTTTGATTCCTGGCTTACAATGCTTACCTTTATGCTGTGTATTTATATCCCTAGGAAAATTATTTAAGTTCTCTGTACATCAGTTTCTTCATCTGTAAAATGAGGCTAACAGTACTTAACCTATCACTGGCTGTTATAAAGGATTCGTGAATATGTGTAAAGTGCTTAGAACAAAGTAAGCAATATAGTGGTAGCTATTATTATAGATTGTCTGATGCTACCTCATCAGTTGGTGAATAAATCACAAATGGATGAGCTCTGAATGTGCCTAAGGTATATAGATATATGCATGTCTAATCTATATATGTATATATTTACATGAGAAATAACATTGACTAAACACCTACTGTATCTCAGATCCTTTTTTTGAGTTTGTCACATAAGACTTCAAAGACTATATCACCATTTGAATTATACAGATGAGAAAATGTGCTCCAAAGACTGGAGACATTAAAACACAAAATAAGGTTCTATAATACCATGTCAATTTTTGAAAGCACCATGTAGAAAAAGGTTGGGTCCCCTCAGAATGCAACTGGAGGAAAAAAAAAGAGAGCCATTCACACTGAACTCTGATTAGAAAACAAAATGAAAAGCTTCTATTTAACAATAATCTACAGTCTGGAAAAGGCCTCACGGACAACTCTGGAGATACAGAACCAGAGATCTCCACGCTGAAAAATCAAACACAGCCAGACAATGCTGCAGGCAAGACCTCAATCAAACTGATCCGACTCCCATTCCAGTGCTCTTTCTGCTTCTACATGCAGAGCCAAATGGGCAAAACGCACTTTTAGCCGTGGCCCCAAAATCTGGAGACTCTGCCTTGGGAACTGGCATCATGGGATTGGGCTCAGCCTGGTTTCATGGAGGCTGCCTCCCTGATCTACAGAGCTCTACTTCTAAAATGGCTTCAGCACAACATGAGCACTGCACGATGGGAAACACACAGAAGATTACAGGGTAGGAGCCATACCTCAGGGGCTGACAGTCCATAAATATTTACTACTGATGAATGAAGATATTCAATCTGAAACCCAGGTGTGTGGTCTAGGCCAAATCACCTCGCTGTTTCTCATAAAGAGTCCATCTGTAAGATGGGTGAATGGCTTCTTATCTCATTGAAAGGAGGGGCTAGGAAAATAATTTAGCAGTTGCGACTGAAATTATTAGTCTTCTATTTCGAAGACCACACGTACAATTCTAATTTGGGTCCAGAAAACTGACAGGTTTTATCCTTGCCATCTCACGTGCTGCTAAGGACATGGATCCATGAAAAATGAGGACTCAGGCAACTGAGATACATACTCCTAAATAAGGGACGGGGTGCACTAAGTGTTCAAGAAGTATCACCAAGAACCAGGAACTATTTATACACTTAAATTTCTAACAGGAAAATGCAAAAAGCTGAGCAGCCACGTGTCCTGCTCTATAAACTGCATGTGTGTGGCTTCAACAGAACAATTGAGAGAGTGAAAAGTGTATTTTTTATATCCTTACAAAAGCTTCATCTTTCTATTTGGGTTCCCGTGGCCGCCTGATTTTATATGTTCATAACATCACCTTGCAAAATTCCGTCTCCCACACAGGGCAAGCGAAATCAGAGCCTGATGCTATCCATATCCAGCCTTACCAAAGAGAAAAACAGTGAAAGCAAGGACAAGAGACAGATTTTTACAGAAAGCTTGGCAAATCGTTTTACCAATACTGCCACCTTTGAAAACCCCATTACATGCGAGTTCTCCATTTGCAAGAGACAAAGATGTACTCATCTTACGAAGAAAAGGGGCCCATATCACTCCCACCCCTCCACCGCCACGGAGGCCATAGGGAAGTATCAGTTCTAAAAACATGCCAACACACAGTATGGGAGAATTTGGGGCGAAGACAAAAGACTCGGGCATTCATGACAATAAACACCGTGAGAAAATATTCGATGCTCAGCCTCTGACTTTCTTTCCCCCCCTGAGGATCCAGCCTGACTTAGTAACCGGCTCCAATAAATGCAATTTCTTGATTCAAACCTCAACCCTGTGCTTCCAAGGGAATCTCGGGTCTTGCCAGGCTCCAAAACCAGCGAACGATGATAAAATGGCTTTACTGCAAAGTGGGAGGGGGTTTTGTCTCGGCTCTCTCCCAAGGTTAAACCCTTTACCCATCCTAGGGGAGTCAAGCAGGGGCACTAGGGCTCGAGAACTCACCCGCATCTGTTTCAATTTTAATTTTTGGAAACCGGAAAGCAAGGAGCAGGGGTGACAGGGCTGAAATCGTCGGATCGCGACGCCCACGGCACAGGGAGGGGTCGGGCGGGGATCGCAACTGGGCAGTGAGGCAGGGTCCGGGGTGCGCGGCTCGGTATCGTCTCCGGCCCGGTACGGAGCCGCACCCAGCCCGCCGCGCAGAGCCGCAGGCGGCGAGGGTAGCCCGGGCCTCTCCAGGAGCGCTGGGGCCGGCCCCGGAAACAGGGAGGGGCCGCGGCGAGGCAGGGCCCGCGCCGCTAGCTGCTGCGCGGGACCGAGGGCGCGCGCCGTCACCGCCGGAGCCCACCCGGGGGTCGCCCTGGTCGCCGCCCCCACCGCCGCCGTGGGAGCCTCGGGCTTGGCCCCCCAGGGGCCCCGGGCGGACCCCGCGCCGCACTCACCGTGGGAGGTCTGCAGGGGACAAAGACGTCTGCGAGCGGTGCTCTAAGCGCGGTGACCGCTTCCTTCCCAGGCCCACTCCTCAGGCAGCAGCGGCGAGGGCGGCAGCGGCTGCAGTGGCGGCGCGGCAGCTACCCCGGCTCCGGAATCGGCGGCGGTGGCGGCAGCTCCACTTCCGCTCCGGTCACCACTTCCGCTCTGGGCCGAGCCCCGCCCCCGCCCCTGCGCTGTTTCCTCATTGGACGAGCGGGGCACGGGGTTGCCTCGGCCGCCCTAGAGGGGCGCTGATGGAGGGAGGAGGAAGCGGAGCAGGGGGCCGGCGTGCTGCGGAGGGTAGAGGGCGGAGGTCCTGGGCCGGGAGCGAAAAGCGGAGGGGCGGAGGGGGACGGAAATGGGGGCGGGGGAGAGGAAAGAGGAGGTGGAGGAGAAGGGGCGGAGAAGAGGGGGCGGTGGGGGCTGGGGAGGAGGGTCCAGAACGGGGAGACCAGACGAGCTTTCGGGTTGGGCGGGCCTGAGTCCCTCTCTGCTTAACTGAAACTCACAAGGGCCAGGCCGGGAGATTCCGAGGTCACCGGTTCCCTTCCCACCCCACCCAAAATGTAATCGCCTAGGGATCAGAGGTTGAGGCCTGTCCCCTTTTGCTATGTCCTTTGAGAATACTGGACCTGGGAAAGACAGATACTGCTCATCCCTGAATTTTCGTTTAATTCTCGCTTCAGTCCTTCAAGGTACTTCTCATTTTCTCCTTTTATGGACAGAAGAGGTGTCAGGAATCGAACGGATTAAGGTCTTTTTTTCGAAGTGTGTCTAAGATCTCTTCCCAAGCTCTTAGAGGAAACTTAGGGAAAGGAAACAGGTCCCCACTGCCATGGCTGCTCTCCATTATCAACATTGTGTTCCTCCCAAGGCAGTTGACTCTTCTTTTTGTATAAATTGAGTTTGTTAGGGTGACATTGGTTAATAAAATTACACAGGTTTCAGGTGAGGGCAGCTGAACCTTAAACACAGTTCTTCAAAATGCCTCTCACCTCCACTCCCTTTCATCCAATCTTTCAACAAATAGGTATTGAGCAGGCTTTGTGCTTCCTGTTGGAGACACAGCAAGGACAGGACAGAAAGGGGCCTGCTGTCTCTGACTTTATAGTCTGGGAGGAAAAAGAACAAAGTGAATAGGACTTCGTCATCTCTCCTTTACCCTGACTCACTTGATGACAGACTTCTAATCCATGGCCTTACCTTCAGCCATTCTAATCATGTCCCTTTCTTGCTTAAATCCTTTCGTGATTACCCAGACCTAGAGGACAATGGATAAGCACCTTGAGTGTGATGAGGTTCTCCATCTTCCCCTTAATCTGTAGCCTTTCCTTGCTATTTCTCCCCCATCGTAAAACCCCAATTCAATTGGATGATTCCCTCTCCTCCCAACATGCTAGTTCCAGTATTTCTAAACCATCTGTGTTAGTTGCCAACAGTTTTTAAAGACCTAAGAGATTTCTGTGTGAACAGAAATCCGCATCTCTGCGGATTACCGCATGTCTGGTAACACAATGTCCACATTTCTGTGTGGCAACAGTTGGCTGAAGCCAAGGAGTAGATCAGGCATGAACTTTTAAGAGTGCCCAGTGTAGATCAGGCATGGACTTTTAAAAGTGCCAGAGACCGCTCTGGACTGAGCCTGCGTGCCTTGTTCATGTTATCCGTCATGAAGGAGTTCATGCTACTCACCCCTGTGCCATACCACCTTGTAACTTGAGCAAGATTGAAAGGGAATGTTGTATAATGTAAACAGCATGGATTTGACATCAAAACCACAGGATTTGAACCCTGGAAAAGTTTCTCGGTGCAAAAACTTCATGGGACTCCATCTCTGGCAAACCAAAGATCAGTAATCCAGAGACCGCTCAGGTTGAAATAAGCTTTAATATGAGATGACTGTGCCTTATGCCCCCATCCAGAAAATAGCCTAGTGGGTCACAAGTCTCATGATGATTACACCACAAAGGACACCAGTGCATTGAGGGAACACAAGTGCCCTTTGCCAGGCATCCCTGGGTGCCCACTAATGTGTTGCGTGGATTAGCTGCTTTCACCATCTCTGCATTCTAGGCCAGGGGTCAGCAAACCACAGCTGTTAACTGACAGAGACATAAAGAGATAGTAACACACAATGTGGCAGATGCAGCCACTGGAAAATATATGCCCAGAGTACTATGGGAACCTGGGAGAAAAGCACCTAACCCATCTTGGGAATGTGGTATGAGAGTAGGAAAGACTTCCTGAAAGAGGTGATACTTGAACCTTAGATTCCATAATGAAATTTTTAAAAATTCATAGACTTTCTTTTTCTAGAGCAGTCTTAGGTTTGCAGAAAAATTAACCAGAGAGTACAAAGTTCCTATATATCTAATCTCTCCCACTCACAGTTTCTCCTATTATTAAAATCTTACATTATGGGGTACATTAGTTACAATTGATGAACCAATATTGATATATTATTCATTAAAGTCCATAGTTTACATTAGGGTTCATTCTTTTTGTTGTACAGTTCTATGGATTTTGACAAATGCATAATATTAGGCCTTTACCATTACAGTATCATATAGAACAGATTCACTATCGTAAAAGTCTGCTTCAACTATTCAAACCTCACTCCCTCTCCTCACCCCAACCTTTGGCAATAACTTCTCTTATGCTCTTTTATTTTTTTCCAGATGTCACATGGTTGGAATCATAGCCTTTATTGACGATTCTTTCAAAGGTTTTATTTATCTATTTTGAGAGAGAGAGGAAGGGAGGAAGAGAGGAAGAGAAACTTTGAGGTGTGAGAGAAACCTCAATCAGTTGCCTCTTGCATGCACCCTGACTGGGGGCCAGACCCGCAACCCAGGTATGTGCCCTGACCAGGAATTGAACTGGTGAGCTTTCACTTTGTGGAACAATGTGCAGGGCTGTTACTGTAGAATAAGCTGCCAGAGGGGGATAAAGGCAGGAACGAGGGGAAGCCTGTGAAATTCTATGATCTCTACTATCGGGGAAAGAAAGCATTTGACACTGCGCTTTCATCCCAAGGCCAGAAAGGGCCCATAGTGCCCAAAGGAAGAAGCCCATTAACACCTTTGGGTGTTCACCCACTCCCCCCCAAAGCTGGCACCTCCTTTACCTGTCAATCAATATTTAACTTTTTCCTCCTCACCTCTCCTCTTGCCAAGTATTTAAGTCCTCAGGACAAAGGACTTGGGGGGCTTGGCACTGGGCTCCCTGGCCACCGTGCTCAGACCACCTGGCATTTGGCTACATGCACGCTTGCCACCCTTGCGCTTGCCACGCCGGCCTTTGGCCACCCTGACTTTCATCACCTTTACCCTGCTTCACACTGAACCTATGGCTTTCAGCCCCCTATGCCCACCTTACCTAGGCCCATTCTCCTGCATGAGAACAGATCACCCATAAACACTGCTTGCACGCTAATAGACTTACTGATCCATAATTCTTTAAGGCACTGGCAAAAAAAGCCAAGTGTCTCCTGTTATTAGAGCTACTGACAATTCTTTTAGTAAGCAATGTGATTCTTTCATATTGTTTCATGGCTTAAGAGTTCATTGCTTCTTATCACTGACTATTCCACTGTATAAACAGTCCAGTTTCTCCATTGCCCTAATCCATGGTACCTGTGCACGTAACCTTATTTGGAAAAGAGCCTTTGCAGATGTAATCAAGATGAGACGAGGCCCTTGGGGTGGTCCCTAATCCAATTTGATTGATGTCCTCGTAAAAAGAGGGAAACACTGTGTAGAGACACATGGGGCAGACGGCCGAGGAATGACAGAGGCAGTACGTGAAGTGATGCAGCTACAAGCCAAGGATCCCAAACCACCGGGAACTGGGAAGAGGCAAGAAAGGGTTCTGCCAGCCTCGGAGAGGCATGGCCCTGCTGAAACACTCATTTCAGACTCCTTGGCTCCAGAACCGAGAGAGAACACGTTTGGTTGTTTGAAGCCATCTGGTTTGAGGTACCTCATTACAGCGGCCTTAGGAAACACCTACTGAGGGACATGTTGAGTCAGCTTTTGACAGTTATGAATAAAGCTGCTATAAACAACTATGTGCTGGTTTTTTGTGTGGACATAAGTTTTCAGCTCATTAGGGTAAATACCTAGGAGCATGATTGCTGGATTGCATGTAAAATCTATGTTTAGCTTTGTGAGAAACTGTCAAACTGTCTTCCGAAGTGGCTCTACCATTTTGCATTTCCCCCAGCAATGAAAGGGAGTTTCTGGTGCTCCATATTCATGCCAGCATTTGGTATTGTTAGGTACTGGTTTATTTTGTTTTGTTTATTTCAGTCAATTTCATATAGATGTGTAATGTAAGAATTTGATTTGTCTCTCCAAAAGTTTCTTTCTGTTCTTAATACTCTGAAATTTCATGATTAATGGTCTTGAGACATGCAGTGGGTCCCTTTCCCTCTTTCCTTCCTTCCTTCTTTCTTTCCTTCTTTCTCCTCCCTTCCCTTCCCTTCCCCTTCCTTCCTTCCTTCCTTCCCTCCTTCCTTCCTTTCTCCTTTCTTCCTTTTTTCTTCTTCCGCCCCTTGTTTCTTCCTCCCTTTCACTTTTTAATATGACAACTTTCAAACACAAGAGTAGAAGAGTACAGTAAACTCCATGTGCCCATCACCCAGCCTTAGTTTATTATCCTAAGTCGGGGGGGTCTTTGCTTCAAGATCACCGTAGCCGTGATGAGAGGTCCGAGTGGCTGCTGTGCCTCCTGCCACTGCCGTCATAACTTCCCGATCGCATGCAGCTGGGCACTGGGCACTGTATCGGGCAGTCTGGCCACAGACAGTTGGCTCAAGAGTCAAGTTCAAAGACAAGAGGGCTGTTGTTTGGCTTGGAGAAGAAGTTGGAATTGCAGGGTTGTTTATGATATGTTGATGTTTGATATCCATCCAGCCAATTTTGGCTTTTCGTTTTAATGGAACAAAGGCTGAACTCCTGACTCAGAGAGATCTATAGGTACAAACAGAAACAAAGCTTCTTCCAAAGCTCCCACCAGCTTTGCCAGACAAGGACAGGCTATGTCCAGGAGACCAGAATTCTCCAAACTCACTGAATTAAATTTGGATGATATAATCTCCTTTGCTTTCACATCCGTGAGGTCACTGGAAAGGTAGACATCAT